CCCAGTCTGGCTTAGCATTGTTAGTGGAATTCTAGCTGACACCAAATACATACAGCATAAGATCAGCCCTGAAAAAGCAAAGCTAATTCATCCCATCCCCTAGTTCCTTGTCTAAACCAAGTTTCAGAGAAACAGGGGGAGATTTGAGCCTGGCACACTGGAAAAGCCCAGCAGTGCCTAAGGAGTGAAAGCCTGCCCTGAGATGACCTGCTGCTGCATTTGGGCACTTAATCCTGTACCAGATTGCTCAAGCCAGTGCAGTGGTTTACCTGCCACACTGAACTCTGAACACCTACTCTGAACCTATAAGGAATCCCTTCAGCTCCATACTCCCATCCTCCTTGCTTCCCAGCAAGATGGGAAAAGAAAAAAGCAGCCTGCACAGCTCTGGTGTGTACCTTCAGTAATTCAGTAAACATATGCAGTCAAACCATGTCCAGATTGCTGTGATTTGTCTTTCTCTCAAAATCTGACCAACTGCACAAGGAGGTCCACTCGAGTCAGAAATGTTACCTACACTAGGTCACTATTCAAAATGAAAGGCCATTAATTGGCCTCCACTGGAAAAGAGGGTTGGCTTGTTTGCCCAAAGGATGGTAAAGGAAATATTTAGATGTGATACATAACACTTCTGAAAAACTTCTTTCTTAGGGAGTGGAACCGCAGCAGAAATCAAATGGAGCCAAGTTACACTACTCTCTTGGACTGACCCCCTTACCACAGAAAGTCTCCCTGAATCTGGATGTCAGCTTTTCGATCACACCATAGGTCTCCACATAGAAGACATGTTCATCCAGAGGCTCACTGGCCATTATCCTCAGGGACTGCATGTCTGCCCGGTCTACCCCGACCGCGTAGATCTCGATGCCAGCTGTCCGGGCGCTTGCCGCCACATCTTGAACCTGGTCTTGTGGCCGTCCATCTGTCACAACAATGACCACCTTGGGGATGTTGGAGGTTGCTGGCCGGGTGCCCATTTCCTCGGTGAAGACTTCATCCATGGCAGTTTGGATGGCAAGGCCGGTCATCGTGCCAGCAGACAAGGGCTCGATGCGAGACACAGCCTCCTTCATAGAGGCTTTGTCAAAGTAGGTCCGGAGAGGAAACTCCACCTTGACAGTGCTCGCGTAGTTCATGACCGCCACACGCGTTGTTCTCTCACCAACATCCAAGGTATCGATCATTTCTGACAAGAAGATTTTCACTTTCTCAAACTCTTCAGGTCGGACACTACGGGAGCTGTCTACGATGAAGACGAGGTCTAGAGGCCGGTTCTTACAGGCAGTGTCTGCCAAGAAGGAAGGAAAATGCTTCAGTCATCTCCTACACAGAGCAGGAGCTCTCACCCAAGAGCAGTGAGTGCTGTCATGGCAAACTACTGCCAGATAATGTTGGTTGATTCTTTATGAAGAGTCTTCAAATTATAGTGAGCAACATATTAGAGAGTCTTAAATATTAATTTTGACAAGTAATAAATAACTAAATTTTTCTAAGCATTAATAGATATCTGCACATTTGAGCCCTCAAAATGTCAAACTATCCTTGAAACAAAGGGTTATGGCTTTCATGTAACAGCAAAAAAAGAGATGGAGCAATTATATAAAAATGTATTTACTGTTTATTTTCATAAAGCTTGAATTCCAGTTTTTATAAGGTAAAGAAATAAAATGGCAAAACATCTGAGTAGATCATGTGGGGAACAGATCCTAGTATCTTTTAGGATAGTAACAATATAAATTGCCAATTAGGAATTATTTCTTGTTTGTAAATCACAATCCAAAATACACAACAAGAAGAAATAAAGGCCAACAAGGAAAAATCACAAATGATGTTGTAAAAAGGTTTCTTTAGAAATTGTTACTGTTTTAAGGCTTGTAGAACAGAGAGAAAAGTGAAATTACTTGTGAAGTAATTTTATACGTAAAAATGAACATTTACACACACACTTCCAAAATTCCTCACTGTCATATAAATCTAGACAGAAGTAGAAAAGCCATAGCTCAGATCAGAGACAAGCAACATTTCTGGGAAGACAAAAAACAATCAAGACAGTGACAGTGCAACTGAAATGCCCCCGCCCTGTCCTGATACCAGGACACTGATGGTACCATGTACTTACTTTATACCATCAAGGTTGGATTTGCAGCTGAAAAATGGACAACCCAAGACCAGAGTATTTCTATAAAAGAGACATTGTGGCTCACCAGTGCATTAAATAGCTAAATATGAGGTGTCCAGTTTGAATTCACACCTTGAGGACTGTTTTGGGAACCTGACACACCTCTCCTGGCTACTATCAAGTTCACTTGTATTATTCCATTCCAGCTTAAATTTAAAAAATCTTCACAAGTATCTTAAAAGTAGAGGCGAAAACAGCACTTCCCCCACCCCCCTACAAGGCATTAGAAATCCTTTTTCTCTGATTCAAGTGAAAACACAGGGAAAAATTGAAATTGCACAAATTCCCTCAGGAAGCACAGCAGCATAGTTGATATTGCCTTTGAATGGAATAATAGACCAGACGAATCTAGGATCCCATCCAGGTATAGTCTATATTCACCCTGTAACTCAGTTTTGCCTTTGGGAAGCTGAGAAAACATGAAGAAATGTTAGTGCATGCATGCATAGCGAAAGACAGACATAAAGAAAGACGGAAAGAAAGAAAGACGGAAAGAAAGACGGAAAGAAAGAAACCCAGTGCAGTGTTTGTAGGTAAAAGAATTCTCTTTTTTAGAATTGAGAAGAAAAAAAAAAGAGCTTTTCAGCAACCTGTTGGTTCCAGGAGTCAGAAATAAAGATGTTTCGAGTAATGAGCACAGGTAGGGAAGAGCTAGGCGTGCGGTACCTGCGGAGGGGCCGCCCGGGCGCGGCTGCCGGCGCGGGCGGAGCGCGGGGCCCCGCGGGGCCGCGGGCAGCGGCAGCAGCGCCAGCGCCAGCGCCAGGCAGCAGCGCAGGATGCCGAGCCCGGCCCGCCCCATGGTGCCGCCGCCGGGCCCGCGCCCTCCGCACCGCCTTTAAAGCTGCCGGGACGGGGAAGGGGACGGGACACCGAGGGGCCATCGGCCGCCCCCGCCGCCTCCTCCCCGGGGCGGGCCGGTGGCCCTCGCCCCCCCGCCCCGACGGGCGCTCAGCAGCCGCGGAGAGAGGGAGGGGAGCGAGGATTACAGCTCCTCTTTGGGAAAATGCGGCAGGGCCAGGGCAGGGCTCAAGGGGAGCTGAGACACCGTTCTTCCTTCACTAGAAGTGTTGGTCTAGGCTAATTTTGCATTTCAGTCTCCAGAATAGTAGTTGCAAAGAACGGGAGAAAAAGCTCCCAGTGTGATGAGCGAGGCACAAGGAACTGCCCGCTCTGTTGCCAAATCTGGGCAAGAGCATTTAGGCTGGTTCCTGGCACTGGAACTCCTGCCAATTTCTGCAGGAAGCTGCAGTGAGCTTTAGTGGAAAGCACGGGTTAGGGCACAAAGGCACCCTGATCTCCAGCACAGGGCTTTAGAAGACACCTTTGCCAAATCTGTACCCTGTTGTACTGCAGGATCATCTTCTCTCCCATCACCTCCATCAAGGGAAGAGGAAGCCTTGATTTAGAAGAGGAACCACCAACCCCTCAGCTGTACAGTATCCAGCAGGCACTGACTCACTTCAGCAAGTGCTACTGCAAAGGCACAGCACCATCACTTTCCCGAAGGCTGCAAACAGTATCAGGGAAGAGGGACCACCACCCTTCAAGCAGGAGAAAGCCACAGGACAAGACACCAGGGAAATATAATGGCTTTTCTCTCTCAGAAGAGGCTGCAGCTTTTTGAGCAAGAGCACATGCACACACACCCCAGACAAATTTCAGGCAGTGCCTGCTGGTGCCAAACACTGCTCACACACATGGTCAGCCACCCACTCGGACAGCCTCAATAGGCAGTCCTTGGGAGGAGCTCTTTGCCCTCTCGTGGTCACACACACACACACACACACTCCCTCATTGCAGAGGGACCAGAGCAGAGCGCGTGCTGCAATCCATGTTTGAGCAGCACCCAAGTACCAAACAGTTTCAGCTGTGTTTCTTATGCCTCACCAAACCACAGCGGTCTTTCACACCCGCCCTCCTCCCAAAGAGTCACACTGAAGCAGTCTGTGGCAGCATCTAAAGATGCCCTGGATTTGGAGTCTCTGTGGGAGTCCAGATCTGATGCAGTTGCTCAGAATGTGGAAGTAAGAATGCAGCTGCCACCAGCACGGGGCACACCCCGGGTACCCCCCCTCAGGGTAACCAGGAGGAATGGCACTGTCAGAACAGTGGCAGAGAAGGTGTGAGACCACTGCAGTTCAAAGTGCTCTCACAGGTGGCACCTGAGTTCACAGGGAAACTACTGCCGATAGCCCTAACAGAGCATTTTTAAATGTGTACAGAGGTACATACTGAAAATACAGGAAAAACTGCACAAATTATATGCTGTAACAATTTGAATCCCTTTTGTCCAGAGTAACACTAGGTACCTTTTCTCTTCCAAAGCAGAAAAATGTTTCTTCAGACATACTAAATTGTGAAATTATCTTCCACCTCTTTAAAGCTCTTGCTAAAAAAGATAAAGTTCTTTGTACTTGTTTTTTTGGTTTGGGGTTTTTTGTTGATTGTAGAAGAACATCACTAAGTCTGGCATATCTCCAACAACTCTGGACATTTTCCAATGTAAATGCTGTAGTCCTACTGGGTGTCTGTCCTGCTTTTAATGCCTGAGCTGACCAGACATCAGATTTCCCCAAGGGCTCAAAGCCTCCAGTACAATTCCCTTTTCCCAGCTCTTGGTTAAGTACAAATCAGACAAGAGGAAGTCAACCAAGTACTTGAACTGCAAAGGACTGTGTATTAGAGAGAATACATGTTCTCCAGCCACATGAGGACTTCTACTGAAGAATGGATCAACCACTAAATCTGTAACTAAGTATGTTGGACTGTCTGCAGCACAATGAAGCACTTAAAAAAAAAACACCAAAAAGATCAACACTACTGGTAAACATTTTGTAAAAGATTTATTTAAGTATCACAAAGAGGAAAATACACAGAAGATTAGAAGCATGCAACCATCTTCCATATTTCTTGCATTTTATTTTTCTTGCATTCCCAGCTCGTTGTAATAGAACTCCTGTGCCACCCTCACTTGTTCCTCAAAAATACTGTTTCAAGACATAGGATAACCAAAAAAACCACAATAAAAGGTAAGATAACATATGAGAAAAGTGCAAAGTAAAAAAGTCACATATATACCACATTCAAACCCTTCTCCTTCCAAAAAATGGATAAAGGCAAACTGTCATTTTGCTGCACAATCAGATTGTCTTTATGAACTACTTTACAAAAAATTAATATAAATTAAGGGCATAATCCTGCAGACACTTATAATCACATTTAACTTCAATCAGAGTGGCTCAATTGGTATTATTAAAAACCACAAGTTAGTCACATGCCTAAGTTCTTGCAGGTGTAAGGCCCTAAGGCAATAAAATGTTTAAGAGCATTAGGGAGAACAAAAATTAAAGCAAATGAAATCACTCTCAGATGTGTTTTGCTTAGTAAGTTTATATCAAACATATTTTAAACAGAACAGTTTGCTCCTAAAGCCCTGAACGTTTCTATTACTTAAGCAGTTTTGCAAGATTAAAAGACAAAACCCCCAGGAAGCTGGTATAGATGTTAATGAACATAAAAATTGCTTCAGGCAGGTATGTAGGGAGGCGGAGGTTCCTTCTCAGGCATCTTCACTGCCATTTCATAGGTTGGCAGAACATACTAAGGAGAAGACATTTTGAAGTGATTAATACAAAAGATTTCAAATGGAAAAAAAAAACAAAACTAAGAAAGCACACATGCCCCATCAGCAACTTAATCCTCTGTTGCAGGCAAAGTTATTTTAAGAATTTACTGCTGTTCCTAGTAAGCAAATGAGGAAGTGAAAGAAAGTGCAGGAGCAGTTTACTGCTCTGCTGAGCCTAACCCTGGGTCATTCTTTCCACACCCCACTGCATCTTGACTTTGCAAAGCAGCAAGGAAGGTTTGGACTGGTGCAATCAAAACTTCCCTCTACCACAAGAAAAACATACAAAGACTTCTCTCCAAAGACCCTCCTTTTAGGCACTGTCAGAATTTAGCTAAGAAATTACCTACCACAAAATTAGCTGCTTAAGAATTTTTTATTTTTCCAGTCTTTCTTTAGAAAGCTGGACAAGGCTTGGAAACACACATGGATGTGGTGATTTTCTACTTCAAAATTAATGATACTGTTTCCTTTTATCTCAAAAAGAGATTACCTGTGGAGGAGCTTCAAAAGCAGGGTACACAGCAATCTCTGGAAAATTTCTGTTGTTGATGTATTTATAGCAGTTCCATACACAGTTAATTAGGTATGCCTGAAAGAAGAGAGATTTCTTTTTAAACACCTCATAAGCATTGGCTGATTCAGAAATTAAGTGTTGGACTACATTCCTATGATAAAAAGGAGCATAAATCAACTTAGTCAATACATATCCGAGGAATGGTTGCTATTTCACAGACCTGGCCACATACCTATGTTCCTCTCCATTTAGCTTTGCTGTCACAGTGACTCAGAGAGGATGCACCACACAGGTTTTAGCAAAAGAATTCACAGATCCATTCAACTAATCTATCTGCCTCAGCAGTGCTAATCAAATTTAAACATTTTGTTTAGAAACTTGTATGCATTAACTCAGTATTTCACTACAAATTTACAAATATTAAAATTATCTCTACATAGGTAAAAGTCTCTTTACATTCCTCCTTCCTACTCAGGAAGGGCAGAGCTGCATAAGCACACCCCAGTGCACACACACAAGTTAGCTGAAGACACCAGTACACAACATATTAAGTCATACCAGAACTGAACAGCCTAACAATTGTGCTCAAAGAAGTTCTTATCTCAGCATTAAGGCAGCAGCTGGGTTCTCAATTCAGCATTGGAAATTAACTAAGATTGACAGTGTCTTAATGCTTATTAACTCTTGCAATGGTTACATGATTAAGTTTTAACTTACCTTTAAAATGATAAATAAAACAAAGAACACCAGAACAATAAACAAGAGACAGCTGGAGTCCAAAGAAAGGAGATATTCTTTGTAAGGGAAATCCGGCTAGTGAAAAAAACAGGGGGGAAAGTGAGTGAAAGGGAAGAATGAACACTGCACAATCAAATATGATAGAAAAACATCCAAACTTCACACCAAATGCAACAAACCTTTGTATAAACTATTCCCCTGAAACAAAAAGTTCCATTTCTAACAAGTTTCCTCTTTATCCTCCCACAAAGCAGAGTATTTAGCCTGCCTCTGTCCCACAGGAACAGATCACTACAGTACAGTCTGTGTCCCTAGTCACTTCATCAGTCTCAGGCCAACACAGACTCTTCTTCACAGCTGCAGGACAGTATTTGTACTTATGGTCCTCTACAGCTCTTAAATGACTTACTGTTAACTATATCCTGTCAGTCCAACCTGTAACACAGGTGTGCAGCGTAAGAAGTCACCCCCAAACTTGGAGGAGACAAAACAGAGCTGCTGAAAACCTATTTTCCTTCCCTGACCACAGGAACAAAGCCTCTCTCAAACACCAATATAATGTTTTATCTGTTTTAAAAAGGACTTGTTTTTATACATCTACTTGAAAAGATCAAAACACCAGCCAGCCAGAGATTGTGGCCCCTGCTGATGGTATGTTCTATGCATTGACTCTTGCAGTTAAAACACAGGCAGTGTTGGTGAGAATTCCATTTCAGTTTTCTTAGAAAGTGTTGTTGCAACTTGAGAAGAGACACATAGAATGGAAAAGGGAAAGCTTGGAATCTCAGATTCCATGTGTAATGCTGCTGGAATCCTTACCTACACTTCTACAGTCCTTACCTACACTTCTGTTCCCCTTCCCTACCAAATAAGGGCCAACGCATTTTTAATCTGCAGTAGCAAATTTGCTACTGAGCCCCATTGCTTAAAGGGTTACAAACACACTTCCAAGTCCAATTGTAACCAACAAAGTTTAAACCAGTAGTTCCAGTCACAATTCTTTCCTTACTCTCCCTGTCTTTTGTTTTAGGGAGGAATGACACCTTTAACTCTTACATCTCTGATAAGCTACCACCCCACTGTAACCACGTATGGCTGCTGCAGGCTGAATTCTTTTTTCTTATGCACAGGAAGAAAAGTGTAGCTCAGTCACTGATCCAATCAAAACAAACTTTAATTTCAAATGTAAAACATCAACTTCAGCTGAATACTTACCAACTGCTCCAGGTAATCCTTGATTCTGGGCAAGTAGGTTAGGGAGCTGATGGCAACCAGACAACTGAGCACAAAGTCAAAGAGTTGGTAACAGAAAAATGGGATCAGCCAACCTACACGATGCTAAGAAGATATAGAAAAAAGGAATCCTGTAAATTATTTAGTTAAAAAAAAATCAAGTAGCAACTTTAAAACCATGGATTATAAATATACTTACGGCAATGGCACCATATACCATCATTGCACTGATTGTGAACATGAGGAGGGAGATAGCAAACAGAACACAGGCATTTTCTGCATTAAAAGAAAAACAGTAAGAATCAGTCATTTCCTGGAGTTGTCATGCTGCAGCTGATAGGTACCCAAGTTTTGTCCATTACTGTGATCTGTTCTCAACTGACTCATCTGTGCCAACTAGCAGCAGCAGAATAGAGTAGCTCAGATCCTTCCTAACAAAAAAAGATCTGGTTCAAGAAGACCTACAACTACTCTGCCTTAATCAAAAGCCTGACTAAAGCCCAGGAACACCAATTAGAAGCTTAACATAGTTTGACAGGAATGCACCATAATGATGTTTATTTGTAATGTGTGTCAATGCTGAAAGTATGTGAGTTATTAACTTTACAGCTGGACAGAATCTTAAGCGAGGCTAACACAGTATCAACCTTTACACTTGAAAATGGTTTGGTTACGTAATTTGGTCATTGGCAGTGAGAGCAGCACTGCTCCTTCAGTAACACTAAGGAAAACAGGAAATCACTGTGTGGAAGGTATCCCACTAGTTACAAGAAAAGGCAGTTGAACAGAAACCAATTTGTAGCAAAATCGAGGACATTCATGGAGGCTGCATGATAAAGATTCTCCTTGTGCATCACAGTTACTGATGACAGAACTCAGCTGCTTTCCACAAGTTACATTACACTTGTTCCTTTTTAAACACAAATAAACCAGCTTGAGTCTATAGATGTGGTAAATTACTGCTTTTTAGCAATATTGAAGCCAAAATTTTATAATTCTCCTGCTTGAAAAAGAGATTATCTGAGAACCCTTTCTACTCTGCAATTAATTTGAAAAGACACACTGTGGAAGCACTTACATATCCAATTCAGTGAAAGGTAATAATATCTACATACACAGATGGCATCAAGAAAGAGCCTCCCCATGTCTGAAACACACTGTGTTGATCAGACCTAAGTCTCAGCAATCACCAGTAAGTGTGGATGTCTTCTGAGGAGTTATTACTCAGAGTATACACAAGTACAATAATATCTGTAATGTTCTTTCATGCACACAAAACTCTCTAGCCCAGATCTCAACATAAGGAATAAGAGTTTTTAAGTCAAAGGCACGTAACAGATTTTACACTAAAGAGTGAAGAAAGCACCTTCAGCTTCAGAAGCATCTTTCTCATATAAGCTTAAGTGTACCAAGTACACCAACATCCTTTAATTTTACAGATTATCTGCTGTGATGTTACTTAGTATCTTAGCCTCAAGAAGAATTTGGCCCTTGCTCCCACTCTTATTGCTTATTACTCTTATAGTAAATGTGCTTTACAGTCACAGGTCATAACTGAACTGAGATCCTCAACTCAGGTCATGAACAATTAATCCAAAATGCTCAAAACCCAGTTTTTGAAGAGAAATTCAGAAAACAAGATAACCATATTTAAAAGATGTATGTGTACACTACAACCTAGTGTAAGACAAATCCATGATACTGCATGCTTTACATTCCAGTCAGCCAGCAGTGTTCTAGACCTACCAGCCATTCTCTCGGAAGCATAGTAATTTCCAATGACTTCATACTGGATATCAACAGTTGGCACCATATTTGGATGAGTCACTTCTACTGTCAACAAGATGCCCATCAGTAAGTTCACCACCTGAGAGAGATCACAGTTACCTCAAGGTTAATTACACTGCAAGATTTTTTTAATGACCACTAATAATCCTTTATTACAGTTAAAAATAAACTCTTCACTTTGCCTATATGTGGAAGAAAAAAAGAAGAGCCCAACTTACAGTTAAATTTCAAGCTAATTTAGTTAAACCACTACCAAAACGACCCAAAGAACATGGAGCACTTGCTAAGTTCAATGAATCACAATTAGATAATTTTGCAAATTGAGAGGATGGTAAGGTTCCTAGGATTCAAATAATATAATTAAGCTGATTCTGCTTGATGAATGTATAGATTTGTTAACCAGAAATAGTTAAAAATTGTCAGGAAGGTAAAGGTACAGAATGAGAAATATTTGGAAAGAATTTCTGCTTTCTATAACAAATTGAGTTAAACACACAAATAAATTACTGGGCTTCTGCCATGTATCAGCTTTAATATGTTAGATTTAATATGTTAGCTTTAATATGTTTAATCTCCCTCTGCTTCCCAGATCACTTATTAAAACCTCACCAGTCCTTATCAGAAAGGTCTACACAACCACAGAAGTTAAAAAGTTTCACACAAAGATCATGCACACATTCAGCATGGGCTGTGTGCTCACCAGTCTTTCTCCTCCCTCTCACTGCCACTTAAGAATCCTTCTGTTGCCCCATTTTGGTACACACCAGAAATGTCTTCAGTAAGAGATCAAAGAATCAAAAGTAGCTTAAGCCTCTGTAAAATTGCCCTGACAGCATTTATAACATATTCAAAGTTTACAGGGACATATCTAGAGACATACGCCAAAGGTTACATAACACAAAAAACTCATGATGGTATTCTCAAGCTGCAGACATTTTCCAGTCAGAATTCAGTACTGTCACCACCACCAGCAGGATCTCATCCAATTAGCCTCAAAAGAAAAAAAAAAAAAAAAAAAAAAAAAAAAAAAAAAAAAAAAAAAAAAAAAAAAAAAAAAAAAGTTTGCAGTTTCTCACAACTTAAGAACATTTGCCAGGTACTTCTACTGGCATGGTTCCAGGAGTCAATGATGGTGGCAAGTCTATGTACAATTACTGATGATTTCAGTAAGGAAAAAAATATTTCTAACCTTTTAAAAATTTTCAGACTCACAGTTCCTATAACTTTTTTCCCCTCACTGTTTTTATTCATTTTTCTTCTTTTTCTTTTTCTCCCAGGGGTTTAGAGATATATGGTGATAAGTTTGCTTGTACTTTCTGCTAAAAAGAAGCCTTTAGTGGAGTCAAAGTTGGTCACTTTGTAGAAATGCAATCATCTCATCATGTATTACACAAAATTACTAAAATTTCCAGCTATTTTGACCCAGTTGTATTTTTATAAGGCATTTTATGCCTCGGAATATAAAACATAGTAGCCAAAACAGCTTAACCACCAATATCTTTTGCCTTGAAATGCACATATTTTTACTCTTACAGGACACTTCTTAAAGGGCAAAACTTTTGTTCATCTACCTCTTGTCTTTAAATCTTATTTTGCTTCACCCCTGGTCACACATACAGAACACTTTCATCTCACGCCTGGTTTGTCCTTCTGTACTCTGGCCTTCTGCTCTCAAAGCATTTTCAACCCTTCTATTTCCTCCTCTCTGTGAATGAACTGGGGATACTGGAAAATACCTTACTGCACTGTACTTGTTTCAAAGAGCCCATGTCAAGGTTCAGGTCTCTGGCAGTTAAAACATTCATCTCTACTTTATAAAGCATAACGGTAGATGTTCAGTTGCAACTAAATCATTTACTGTTTATACAAGTCATCAGTTTGCCATGATAGGCTACCTGCTTCAGGATAAAGAGCAAGCAGCACTTGAATTACTATAGAAGTACTGAAAAACTTGAATGCCTCAGAATTTTGAGATTGTAACTCCCCATCTGTTACTTTTTTTGTTTTCATCCTATCAATCGTCGTAATTCAACATACCAAAGTCCTTAGTAATTTCACTAGTTACTGAGTGCAGTTCCAAGTACTAGGGGTTTATTTTCTCAACCTGAAATAGTATGCAAGTAAAAGAGAAAAGAAAGTAATTCAAAATCCAATCTATCAGAATCAATGAGACCAAATAAAAATAGTAACAAACCAAAACAAATCTAAACAAAAACAAACCCAAACCTCTGCCAATTAACACCTCAGGGTTTCCAGCACTCCATTACTGCTGTTTACAAATCCATCACAACACTGAGTAATTCAACACATTTAACATATGGATTTCAATTAAGAGCTACAGAGCCAGCCAGAGCCTCTATTTTAACTCCTTCCATTCTTTCCCAGAAGCTTGATAACAGCAAGACCACAAGGCTCGTTTCAAAATAATCGATGTAATAGGCAGCAAAACTATGGTTTGGAACACAGAACATCATTAAAGCTTTTAAGTATATACTCACTGCAAATCAAGTATGTTCACAAATGTCTACATAGAGAAGTCAAAAAACCTAACTTATGTATACCTCAGTGCAATATGAGGATTAAACCCATCACCATCTTCCACAGAAAAAAAAATAAAAAAATAAAAAAAACCAAAACCACAACCTGACAAGACAGCACTCAGCAGATACTGTGCAGCATCCTAAAGTAAAACCTCAGAAATCTCAGCAGCCTCATTCTGGTCTTTTATGCTAGGAAATAAAAAATAGTAGCAAAAATAATTTGCAAAATGCATGTTCAAGTTCTTATTCAAAAAAGAATTCCATTAAGTTGAATATAACCTTAATTTAGTTCTGTAGTAGTTTAAGGAGTGTATTTTACATTTTAGTATCTGGGATAGTTAAGTTTATAAGTTTGGTGTAGCTTGCATCATAATTCAAATAGCTAAAACTTCAAATTCTCAATTAGCAAGTCAGCATTTATTACACACTGGTAGCAGAAATATTAGCTCCCCATATGATTAGAACTCTCTAAAATACTCTGGAACTACTAACAAGCATAACCTTTTCAATTAGTGAGTTTTATCTCCACTGTGTACACTTTATGTCTCATAATGTAAGTGCTTCATCTCTCTGGAGGCCTGGACATGAAGTCTAATTTTCCCCAAGCACTCTGAGTGACTTGGGCAAAACCAAGAATTCCTACTTTTAATTTGCTTGTATCCCTTTATGAGGGGGAAGAAGGGAACTTGCCTTGCACTACTACACTCATTTTCCTTTCACTTTTCCAGTATTTTTTCCCTAGACATGTTCCCAAAGAAAAAAAAAAAAATCCAAGATGGAGATTCTGATTTGGTCTCGTTTATTAATATATTGAAATAATAAAAACTGAAGAGTGATTCTAAAGAGGGTACTTCAGAGCCTATAGCACTACCAGTATTAGACTGAGACCAGTTATATTGGCTCATTTCTGTCTATCTGGTTCAGTGAACAAGCAATTCCAGAGATCCCCCTCGGCTCCTGCTAACCAGCAGCAATTGCATCACTGACTCCAGCCCTGAAGTTTGCTGCCAGAACACACCAGCCGCTCCCTCCAAAACAATGCCATTGGCTTTTATGCTATTTACTGAACTCTGATCACATTTTTGCCAGTGCAGTGTTTGTGCTTCCGGTTTCTGGAAAGTGCAGTGCCCAATATGAAGGTTTACAGGAAGAAACAAACTTCAAAGCAACACGATTGAAACTATGGAGAGAGGAACAGGAGGTTTCTTTTTCCTTCCTACACAGAACAGCAGTGGGTGTTGCACAGCTAATCAAGCTTTATCAGTCCTGGAACTGAAGTACAATTCTGCCAGAAATGTTCTTAACTTTTCTTTTGGTAAATATGCTTTTATTTATTGATCACAAACAGCAGCAGCATACAGACAGAACTGTGCTTGAGACACACTCTGTTAACACAGCATCAGCAGCAGACATTTTAGAAGGTAGTCCTCATTCTCTCTGGACTTGCAGAAGCACACAGCAAGGACAGTGACAAAACTGTTCTAGTGAGGAGTAAAGTTAATTACACACATGACTTAAGAGTATACAAATAAGCAAAGAACAGGAAAATACCTAAAGAAATGTTTACATAAGAATAACACATGTATTAAGTAGACTGAAGTCTTATCTTACTAAAACATCTGGAGTAGATTGCTATGAGACTCCATTTTAAGTGATAGCAAATTCCTTCAGGACTGCACTGCACAAGAACACAGTTTATACAGTAAATAGCAAGATTTTCAGTAACATAAAACTATTCTTGTACTAAACATTCTCCCCCTCCAAAAAACTGCGTCCTTCAAAAAAGAGCCCAACAAAACAAAAACACACAAAGTACAAACAAAAAACCCCACCAAACCCACAAACCAAAACCCATCACCCTAGAGAAAGTTATTAGTATTTGTCCCACCATAACTTAAAAGTAGAGATTATTTAATTTATTTAGAAATACTTCTAAGAACCTGAAAGACTAAGAGCAGTACTTAAATGGTGCGTTAATTAACATGTCTAAAAAACCTGACATATTCTAGACCATTTTTTTTTGAAGTCTGGCAGCAGGCAGTTAAATTTAACTTTGACTGTGCAAACCGTAATTTACCTTTAAAAAAGCGTAATTTATAGTTGAATTCTGATTTAAAGCACTAAGCAAGACCACCTAAAGCTTCCTTATAACCTTATTTCAGCTCAAACAGCCAACTGTTGCCAGACTTAAAAGTTCTCACCCTTTGCTAGGTGACAGCTGAGAACTGCATAAAAACATTCAACGCACGGTCTAACAAAGCGTTCGATATACAAGGACTTTTTAATAAAAATCCGCACCTCTGAAGCGCTTTGCACGCCCCCTGCTACCTTGAACCCTACTTTTCGCTCTGGCAGACCGAGCGGCCGCGGTTACACGAGATCAAAGCCGCGCTCCGCCGCGGGAGCCGCAGCCTCACGGGTGCCCGGCGCAGCTTCCACCGTCCCCAGCACCCATTCAGGAAGAAGAAAGAGGTGCCGCATCCAGGCAACAGGAGGAAACATAAGCACAGCAGGAGAGGTAGAAACTGGAAGCGCTACCAGGTCTGTGGCCACGGAAACATCTCCCTGTCCCCCGCCCCCAGCAAGTTCCTGGGTTTACAGACGCTCCCGCGAACAGGAATCGCAGTGCGGAAGGCAGCGAGGTGCTTTTGTTCTGTAACAAGGATTACTGACCAGAAGCATATTCCTGAACTCCACCCATCAGCACAGGGTGCTTTGCAGGTTTCCAAAAGGAGCTGGATTCTCAATACTACAATGGACGTTTTCCTTTGTAATGAACTAATAACAAAACTTAATCAGCATCAAGACTTTTATCCAATTTATTTTTGAAAAAGAGATACCTTTTCCCTAAAGTTTTGTTACATGTCCAACCCCCTACCCTGCCTTTTCTTCAGGTCATCTCTCTCCAGCGACTTTGTTGGCCTGTACATTTTTTTGCCAACTGAGCGACCAAGATGCATAAAAAGAGGATCTCCCTATACTTGTTGAAAATAAGCCATAAACTCTCAAAAATCAAATCCTCATGCCTCTAAAGGCAGTTTCTGTACATAGCTGTTTCATATCAGCACAAAAATTCAGCATTCTTTGTTTCTTACAATCTGAAAAAGAGTAAGGGAGAATACAGATTTGATTACAGCTTCAGAACAGAAAAGCTATGATGTAACTTTTGTAAACTATCCCCTTATTTTTACTGCCCATGAGGGTAAGGGGAAGGAAAGATTAGGAAGGACTTCAATGAAGGGGAGCTCAAGCCCCCTTTAAGGGTTCCAGGCCTTTAACTTGCTGGTACTGTTTTCACATTTCTATGTCACCCTAGTTCAGAACTTTAATATTTCATCTTCACAACCACTCTCTTCTCAGAGAGAAAGCACTCACCGGTCAGAAAAAAGGAGGTGTTTTGGGAGCCAAATTTGTTTCCACTGCTCTTTAATCACTGCATCAAGAACAAAGTACGGAATAACCAGGAACTTCCCTTGCCACAAAGCTCTCGTTCATTCTTCATCTTCCTCTCAGAGGTTACACACCACTCACGGGTACCTCATCTCATTCCCCTATTATATACCCCAAATTCCAGCCTCCCCCAATTCTCCCTTACCAAGAACACGCTCAGTAGTGTATTAAAGTCTCAAGCCCTCCAAACCAAAAAACAGAAGAGTGACACAATCCCTCTGAGACGCAAATTAAAACGCTCAGAACTTTTTCTTCACTTTCTTTTTCCAACCACAAGGGAATCTGCCGAGAGACAGCAGGGCTTCTCTGTTAGCCCGAAGGAGACCCGGGAGAGAAGGGAGACCCGAGCCCCGCTGGGTGATCCCAGGAAATGCCCTCGTGCAGCTTCCCCAGACCGCCTCAGGAAAGGGAGCAACTGCCCGGGCGAGGGGAGCGGGACCCCGTGGTCCCTCGGGGAACGACTGCTCGGACGAGGGGAGCGGGACCCCGTGGTCCCTCGGGGAACGACTGCTCGGACGAGGGGAGCGGGACCCCGTGGTCCCTAGGGGAAGGGAACAACTGCCCGGGCGACGGAAGCGGGACCCCGCGGTCCCTCAGAGCGGCCGCGAGGGCGCCGCTCCCCCGCCCCACCGAACAGCCGGCGCACGCGCGCTGAGCACGGCCCCCACCGCCGCCCCTTTAGCCGCTGGCCGCCCCCGACTCTCACCATGTACCAGGTGCCCAGGATGATGGTGCCGGTGCGCACATGGCAGCAGCCGCAGCAGCGAGTGCTGTATAAGCGGTCACGATTTCGCTTGAACGTCATGGCGGCACCGCCGAGCTCCAACCGCCAGACCCACCACCCGCCCTCTCCGGGCAGTTCCCGACACCGAGGGCCGTAAAACCCCCGGCGCCCGCGTCACCGCCGCACTGCCCAATCAACCGCCGGGAGAGTGTAGCGGGGCGAGCCTGTGCTGCCGCAGCGACGGGTGATTGACAGCAGCGCCGACCAATCACAACAGCCCTGGGACTGACGCCCCGCGTTCACCTGCGGTGGCGGGGGCAGCACCTGAGGTGGGGGCAGTGCCATTTCCGCCATGTTGGGCTTTGCCCGCCTCTGCCGCCGGGCGAGTCTGGCGGGGAAAGGTCCTGCCCTGCCCTACCCTACCTTACCTTACCTTACCTTACCTTACCTTACCCTGCCTTACCTTACCCTGCTCTGCTCGCCTCGCCTGGCGCACGGGGAGCAGCTCGCCAGGGATTTGAAGAGCCGGAACTTGGCAGCCGAGGAGGCAGCGAAAACTCATGGGGAAAGCTGCGTTGTCTGGAGACGTTCCCCTGTACTTAGCGCGGGTGAGGGCTGGCTCGAATTCTACGGCCAGTTCCGAGCCCCTCAGTTCGGGAGGGACATGGAAGTTCTAGAGAAAGTCCCGAGAAGGGCAACCGAGCTGGTGAAGCGTCTGGAGCAGAAGTCTAAGGAGGAGCGTCTGAGGGTGTTTTGCCTGGAGAAAAGAAAGCTCAGAGGGAACCTTATTCCTCTCTGCAACTCCCTGAAAGGAGGTTGTAGCCAGATAGAGATTGGCCTCTTCTCCCAGGCAACTGGTAACAGCATGACAGGACATGGGCTCAAGTTGCGTTAGGGAGGTTGCATAGGAAATCAGGAGAAATTTCTTCATTGGGAGGGTGGTTAGACATTGGAACAGAAGTCACTATCCCTGGAGGTGTTTAAAGAAAGACCGGACGTGGCACTTAGTGCTATTGGTCTGGCATTAGGTCATGATTTGGATTCGATGATCTCACGGGTCTTTTCCAACTTCATTGATTTTGTGATTATGGACAACCCTTAATTCCAAAATAATAATGAGTAAGTAATGTCTCCTGATGTCCTGATTCCAGCTGGGGCAGTGTTAATTTCTGCAGGTGCCAGGAGGGAGCATGGCTTGGATGTGGAGCTTATTCTATCCCACCTCACATCACTGGTCATTGCCAGGAGCAGGGGGAAAAGAGGTTTCTTCCTATGGAGAAAACACGGAGGAGGGAGCCGGCTGGTGTTGTCTATTGGGAGCGGGGGCAGGTTTCTTATCTCGCTGATGTTTCCAGTATATTATTGTGCCTCCAATTCTTAACTCCATCCCAACACAGCAGGAAAGATGAGGGGAAGGGGGAGTGAGATAGAGCAGTGTGTGGTTTTGGAAAGTCTCAGTAGGGGTCCTGAACTGGGGAGTACCATTCGTAAACCGGACACTTGGGCAGAGGTATGCTTTGAGGTACTGCCAACATCCCCCGGCTTTTGCAGAAATTCACCCAGTGCTGCAGAAGGTTTAGTTCACATGAACCGTCTCCATTCTGCTGTTCTTCTGAGTTAATTCCTTGGATTAAAGAGTAACATTGTGTTACATGCTAAAAGGATATGCCATCAGAGGAAAAAAAAAAAAGTGCTCTCTTCATTGAGTATGTGGAAAGTTTCAGCACCACTTAGACACACTGTCTTCTGTTCCCACAAGGAGCAGGACCTGTAAAGTTCCCCTGACCCGATGGTTTCTGGAGACCTGACCTATTGATGCAGAAATGCACACAGTTTATTTTAACCTTCTGCTTTGCAGCTGCAAGTATGTCCTTCTTGGCAGTGCACAATCTGAGAGACAGAGCCATAAATATTTGCTGTGCATGTATACACCAAGATGTATGTCAGTATTAATTTGAGTTTTTCACTTTGAACATTGAGAAGGTAATGAGAGTGACAGTGCTTGTCCTTTTGATACATTCCAGATTGTACAATTAACACATTTTATTGTTTGAATAATAGACTGCTTAGTCTATTTTTAATGTGAACTGTTGCTGAGTTGTTTGAAATTATTTATTTAAGGGCTTTAAAAGTGACCTTTTTATTTTAAATCCCCAGAGTTCCATAGTTAGTGTTTTTCTTCCTTAGGGCATATTTCATTTTTGGATAAACATGTTGTAAGTGCTGCTAAGATGGCTGTAATGATCCTATTATAAACTATTGTTTGTTTCTTTAGCGGTCCTAATGTTCTCAGCCCTGTGCACAGATGCCTAATTATCAACACTGATTTAATGTAGTAAGAAGGGACTAATTTTAATGAATATACAAGTGTCCATGTAAAAAATAGAAAAAATAATGTGCATTTTCTTGTAATCAGTCATTTAAAAAATCAGTTTTCTCACAGATGGCACTTTGGGAAGCCTAAGCCAACTATCCCTGCTTCATGCATGCCTGAATTGATTACATTGTTCTGCGGAGCTGAGAGGTTCTCCTTCCTGTTGGTCTGTCCCTGTGTGAAACAGGAATTCACAGGATTAGAATGAGTCAGAAATAAAAGCAGAAGCCCCTCCCTCAAAGTTTGGACATCCACTTGGAAACCTCTAGATCCCACTCCCAGTTCAAATGATTTGTGAGGGCAAGTGTTCCAGCTAAGATCTTGCAGTTGGACACTCTGCCTTCGCTAAAATCAAGCTCTATAATAAAGTCAGGCTCAGATTTTCAGGGCTATTTTCATGAGATGAAAGAAATCTTAATTAAGTGTTCATATCTTTGTCAGCCAGACTCAGAATAAAAATTGATGTGATTCCCTTGAGCTTCACTGCTTGTTATACTCTGCAAACAGCAAAGATACTGGGAAGAATAATGTGAATCTCATTTAACATCACAAAGAAGCTTCCCACAGCAGGATAGGCTGATGTGGAACTACTGAATTTGCATTAAAAAACCTGTCTACTTTCTCCTCTCTTAAAAAAAAAAAATAAGGAAAAGAAAGATTTAAAGAGTATTTTGAGAATGATTGCATTGTTTCTTGTACTTAGGGGAAGAGGTAATAGGTTAATGATTTTAGTCCTACCCTCTGTGAAAGATTCCAGTTCTTCCATGCCACAAGCAGCCCAGATGACCTCAGGCAAGACACTTCCTTTTTGCTGAGCCTTAATTCTCTCCTTTTTGCTAGTTCAAAGAGGATTTGTGAGGCTAAATATATTAAAAATTCTGGGCTCAGCTTACAGTCATGACAGACTGAACAAAATCTCAGAGAGTCATCGAGTACTAATGGTAAAACTTACTCACAAATAGCAAAAAGACCATGGCGTGCAGGACCAAAGCATCCACAACAGTAAGAGCAGGAAGCCATACACAGATCAGCAAGTCAGAAGCAGCTGCGAAAGAATGATTTGGATTCCTTTACCAGCATGACATTTTAACTCCTTCCCTCTCAGCAGGTAGGGAAGGGTTTGATATCGAGGTGTTCCTCATTAGCCAAACTAGTCAGAGCTTTCAAAACCCATGTCTAGACAGGAGATTTGCACTTCTGTCTTAAGAGAGCCTGGCAATGTTTTACAAAACACAAATTAATTTTGGATAATCACATTTTAATGAGGTGACAGCAAAACAGCTGGGATCAGGTAAATGAGAGACCAGACTTCAACTTCTACAATTTAAAGTCCTACACTTGCAGGATGTTAAAACAATGCAGCACTAAGACTGTTTTCTGCAAATTTTTGTAATACCATAGTTTTTCCCTTTCATGCTGCTCTTCAGCCTATCCTTGGCTAGAAGGTGGTGGTTTAATGCAGTAACCACATTGCCAGGATGGCAATATTTTTAAGAATAAGGTGCTGTTCTGCTTCAGCATTTGCTGTGTTGTGTGAAGGAAAACTTACAGACTCTGAACGGATAATCACATGTAACCTCGGGCAGAGTTCATATCACTTTATAGTGAAAATATTGTTCTGATGGGGGTTGAGAAATGAGGACACAGTGAGATGAACAGATATGACCAACACTACTACAGGCCAATCAAACTTCTAGGAACATCTTGTCCATTCTTTGCCAGGAAATAAAAGGTACAGTGCAGGACATGTTGGAGCTACTCCATCCCAAATGGAAGGCACTAGAGTATAAGGGCAGGAACAATCTACTGCTATTTTATTTTTATTTTTTTTCCCTATAACTTTATGCATGTGCCTGCTACTCTACTTTCTAAAACAACAAAAACAAACAAACAAAACTCCCCAAAAACCAAAACAAAACCAAAAAAAAGCAAAGGTTAGTTAGCTCCTCAGACTCAGTTATTTTCCATGCTGAAAAAACATTTTTAGATTAAAAAAACCAAAGTTTTTCAACATCCCAGAGAAGATATCTTTACATAGAAACTGCAATATATAACACTGTATACCCGTAACAGAATTTAGAAAAATCTATAGAACTGGTGCAGAAGGTGTGAAAAATAGCAGGCTGAAAGCATGGATTGACTTTTTGCTTCCTTAAAAAAGATAAAAATGTACTAGAGTAAAAGCAAAATATTAACATATCAATGAGGGGAAAAAAACCCTCATATAAATTAGTCATGGGGAAACTTTCCTGTTGGTGACTCATACAACAAAATCATAGATATCCCGAAGTCAGCATTAACAAATTTTACCATCCTTTTTTTCCACGATTAATTTTGAAGTAAAACAATCTAATTTGGAGGATCAGTGGTTTCTTGTAAAAAGGGTTAGAAAGTAATAAAAATGTATCACAATGAGTTTTGTGATTATTGAATTTTAGTCTTGTTTACTGAATTAATCAACTTCATTTTGGGATTCCTAATGTAATGTTCCAAGCTTCTGTACTATTTGTTCTAGTTGGTTGCTGTTAACAATATGAATTATCTTTTACCATTATGAGTCAGTTTAACTCGGTTCCAAACCTTTTAAACTCATAACAGATGGGTCAGAAAGTCAGGGTTAGAAAATAAGCTAAAATATGACAGCATGACAAAATTTCTCTAAGCCCAGGACTGTTTCTGGGTTACTTGCTGTATGCTCAGATTTTCTAAATCTCAAACACTGAATAAAAATTCTTGCCTTCATTTAGAGAATCAAAATCTGCTAAACTAAAAGAGCTGTGGTTCGTTTATA